TAGAAACTCCTACTATTTTTTATATATGGCGTAGATTCCGATGTATCCATAAGATAGGTAAATAGTCTTGAAATCAAAATGTATTATTATTACTTACATTTTACTCTTTACATATATATATTCATAGTTGAAGTAAATTTAGTTTTAACAAAGTTATATAATGTTTATTTGAGACATTTTATTCATATCATTGGTCCTATTTAATATTGATTGGCACCATAAAATGATATAGATATTTTTTTTTTACTTCGAGTAGACTTGTAAATTTCATAAATACAGTTCTATAATAATGAATACCATACATGGATTAAAACTAATTTTACGGGTTTTTTACGCATCTTGGCTCCTCACCGAATGAAAGCACCGAAGCTCCGGGAAGTCTAAAGTATGTAAACATGTTTAGTATCGTCCCAACCATTATATACAACAAATCCTTGCAATAGAACACCGAATTCTACAAAAGATGATTCGCGAGGCTATTGAAATTAAAAATATCCTAATTTTAATACGGAAGATTGCTGAGTGCTACTATCTGCTAAGGACTCCATGATTAATAAAATTAAATTCAAACTACAACTGCATTTTAATTATTCTATTTTAACTATGACATCAGGTCGTCAAACACCTCAGTTCTCCCGCCCCTCCCGTGACCATGGGTGCTGTAAATTGCCCAAACCATCGGGAATTTAAAAAGTTAAAATTAAACGCGATAAAATCCTTAAAATTATTTTTATTCCTTATAAATTTTATACACAGTGACGTGAGAAATACTACACCCATGAATGGGAGTAGAAAAATGTTCGCACTGTTGTGGCGGTGAAAGAAAATCCAACACCTCATATCGTTCCGTCGTAAGAGGTGACATAAGAAAAAAACAGTAGATGGGATGATCTGCATCATCTTCTTGACAACAGATCAAAATAATAATAGCTGCGGTTGCCAACCCACCACTATAGCAAATATCCAGCTACTTGACAATTTATGGGGGAGGCCTATGTTCATTTCAGTGGACTTTTGATAGGCTGACGATAATGAGTTCTACTCATCTTTGGAAGCCTTAATATTTACGATAGAGTGAAAACAAAAATTAACATACCCGAAAACGCGAATGAAATAAATACTGCATATATTGCCCCATGAAAAGTAAAAAAGCAGCTTACATACATGTTACTACTGGGCACAGGCTGTAGAGCTTTTGGCCAAAAAAGAATTCGCTGCACTGATTCCAACGCGGGATGAACGTAATGTAAATGATTCAATTATTTACATCGTACCATCAATAGCATTGTATTATTTCATTTTATCAATGACTTGCCATGTTAATTTATTTAGAAGTAAGTAGGTGGCGCTAATATTATATGAAATAATGAAAGCCAAAACTATACCATCTAGTAATATCAACAATAGAAACGAACATTTATTTATTTATTATTATTATAATTAATATTATTTATTATAGGGGATAAAGTGATGTCAATTCTCTTAAAAGTTCTGTTTCTGTTAAAAATAAGCTATCAGCGCCGCTAGCGGTGAAAAACGATAATGATATCGTCATATGACCATATTATGAAAAAGCAACGTTGTGTTTAGTTACTAATAACTTCAAAAGATTTCTATTCATTGATTTGGTCAAGCTATATCATGACATGGTCAACAATTAGTTTTAAATACAAATACATTCATTTCAGTCATTTTTTCAGTCTTTTCACGAAATGATAGACTACTTTACGATATATGATCAATTCTACGATCTAGCCACGACATACATAAAAATCTCTTTAATAAAACTATGATGATAATTAAAATTTTGCAACAATCGTAGACAGACCAGTTTTTACCACTTTATATATTAGTAATTGAAATAAATACCTTATCAATTTTCATATTTTTTATAGACGTCACTATTATCTATTGAAATTATTACACTTTTAAAATAAAATAACAAAAATTCTAAAAAACTGAACTTTACAATTTTTTAATAATTTTAATAATCTAATAATTTAATCATATAAATGTAAGTTAACTGAAGGCAAAATATACAACTTTTTCCATTTAATGATAGATGGCGCTTTTTTGAATACGAAATCGGTGTAGTTTCAAATTATTTTACCAAGATTATAACTATATTTTATACTTTATTTACAAATATGGTATTTATTTGAAAAACACCCGTCATTCCGCCTATAACTAAGATACAACAGAAAATTAACATCTAAAGGAAATTAATATACTTAACCTTCCTTTTTTGAAGTTCCGTAATCGGATAAAAAGTAGCCTATAAGTTGCCCCGGGTTACTGACTACTTACATACAAAATTTCATGTAAATCGGTTCAGTAGTTTTTGCGTGAATCCGGAATACACAGACAGACAGACAGACAGAGAGAAAGACAGACAGACAGACAGACAGACAAAAATTCTAAAAACCACTAATTTGGCTTCAGAACCCTTTATTTAGTCCCCTGGACTTGTTTTTTCAAGAATATATTAGAATTACAGACACGACTTTTCTACAGATTTATTATATGTATAGATATAGATATACCAATAGGATACCAACACTATAAGGATGCCAATTTATTCTTCTTTAATTTAGTGCACCCTACCATTATGGGTTGTCTGCAAGAGATATCTATTTAGCTATAAGACCGCCTTTTGTTTTTTCGTCAATATTTTGTTTATTTTTGTTCTATTAATCTTTCCTTGGTGTACAATAAAGATTATTGCATTGTATAGGGCAGTTATTTTGATATTATAGATGGACGCTTCAAATGTATTTATATGACGATTATAGATTAGACGGCTGGCAGCGTAGTGGCCAAGGTGTTTGGCTGATGCACTGCGGACCGCGGGTTCGAACTCCGTACGGAACGAATATATATTAAGATATTCGTCCATATGTGTGTATCTAAAACGCCTATATAATACTGAAAAAGTAAAAAAAATATTAGTTTTTTAATAAGATTAAAAGATTAGCGGTAGAGTTCAAGGACTTCATTAATGTATGTCCACGATGATTGCATGCTAGTTTTTTTTAATTATATGATTAATAATCAAAGAGGTTCCTTGATATGACTTAGGACAAGGATTTCTAAGTGCTAAGGATTTTAATGCGGGAAGGATTTTAATAGGTAAGTGAAGATCTGGGTGTCATTAAAACAACTTATATTTTTATTTTAGTCAAGGTATAGATACCTATATTTGAAAACATCACCGTTTATCTACAAATATGAAACAATATGTTAGCCGGGTAGAAACATAACGAGTTTAACTTTGCTATATTTAAGTTCATTGTCTTCGTTGAGTGTGTTTATATGTAAATACGCACTATTTCAATGAGAAGATTTTAGTATTTTAAAAATATTAAAATTCTAATTTCAAATCAAAAACACGTAACAGTTAGTGGTATTACGTATAGATACATTCAGCTAAAGTCTGTTCAGAAAGAGACAGCCGTGGAAGTGAACTAACATTAAGATTTCAAAATCATTGTTCAAAACCTGTGGTACATATTCAAATTATTTAAACGATAAATAAATAAAGTATATTTTACTTTTAATACTTAAAATGTTACTTAAGGGTAAGGCTTGAGTAAAAAGCATTCTGCGGAGTGTGTTGAGCCTCCACCAAGGCCCAAGAACGTATTTTTTGTCGTGTAGGATGTCGAGGGATATTCTGAATCTACAGCGTACAGCTTGAGTGCTTTGGCCAGCTTTAGCTTGAGAGGCTGGGCATGTGATGTGCGTAACGAATGTTAAAAAGTTCAAATTTGTTATAATATTCCGAATGGGAGCCCCTTCAAATGTATGTCGAATGCTCTCCACTCAGATCTTGGGCTAACACTCGAGCGCCAATTCCACGTCTATTCTCTTTTCGCACAGACTCTATTTCAAACGAAATGAACAATCAGTAATGTATTATATATTACTTGTAATGGCACAATAATTTAGAGCTTCAACAGCACAGATGTTTCGAAAATATATAGATATTGATAATGGTTACATGGATAACGATACTCTATTATAACGCTACTTTGTATATATATTTTTATACATAAGAATAGTTTATTTACACATTACATGGCATATGAGGGTTTGGTCTAATAAAAAAATCTTATATACTACTAAATTGTAAGTTACAAAAATATATTTTTGCAGATCAGTTGGGTACATTTTGAGCGTAGTTTGTGCTAAGGACAGTGCTTTTAAAAGCAGTCATACGAATAATGTCTTTTAATCTTCTGCTATAAATTAATATTTATAATAATTTCTCTTCTAAATACATATGTACAACGCGGTTTATGTGCCGCGTATTTTGAAAATAAAAAACAGGTAAGGGCAAGCAAGTTATGAAGCAAGTTTATGGCCCTAGGCGGTAATTGATCTTTTAGTGGCAAGATCCCATTTTTTTTTTTTATTTTAAAATCCCTTTTTTCATTTTATGTCATAAAACTTTTTTTTTCTCGCATTTTCCCGAGTAATATCTACCGAAAATGTAGAATATTCGATAAGCTATAGGTGAAGTGTCGTATTTATTGAATCTAACGCATTAAGTTAATGGCAATTAAACATTTCTATTTATAAGATATGACTTTTTTTTACAATAATTGTTATATCTGTTTGCTTGAATATTAAACTAATTATCACAGTTTATAATTAAAATAACGCTCCCTTAAATCTACAACATTCGTGAAACGTAAACATAGCCATCCTTAATCTAAATTAATAAATAACTTATTTCTTGTTAGTGCGTCGTACGAGCACCGTATATGAAATATATTTTACAAAATTCATCTTTCGTTTAATAACAGTTCCTTTACAAAACATTAAGTAGACGATAACAAATTGGTTTAATAGCTAATAAAATTCTTAAATTCAAGGTATATCAACAAGCTAACACTAGCCATCACACAAATGGCACGAGAGGCGCACAGGCGCTCTATTAAGTAAAAAGTAATTTATTTGCGAGAGATCAGTCTATATGTTCACAACACTGTGGTTCACTACACTGTAGTCTCGTTCCTACGCAGAGGTTGAAGTTCGCGTTGCAAGTCGTTGTAGTACTCGTGGTCGGACATCGACTCTTCTTCAACAGACCTCTGAGGCTGGTACTTGCTTGTACCTGGCCGCGGAGTAGAATCACTACCACTTCCTTCGCTAGTGCATAACGACTCTAAAGGCACTGGCTCGTCTGTAGGTATGCCGAGCGTCTGTGCTGGTACGCTTTGATCTGACATCAGGTATTCAGGATTATCAACGCATCTCTTCGAACCTACGTATCCGGTATAACGCAACTCTTTAACATCTTGACCCTCGCCACCTTCCCCGATCAAGTCCATATACGTGGAAGCGTTTTGATTGTGCTGCGGTGACGGCATCAGATAGTCGTCTTCGTCTAACGGTAAGTTCAATTTCAAATTTCCGACTTGAGCTTCCTTTATTTTCGACATGCTATCGAAGCTGCCTTCCAAACCGTCTTTCTTCATTGGGTCGCTGCAGTACCTTGAACTAGAACCTTCTGACGCGCATACTCTGTTGTTAAAGTAATGTCTTAGTTCGGAGCCATCAGGATTCGTTTGATTGTATCTCAGTAGATCGTGATCCCACGTTTCAGGTTTGTTGGATCCGTCAGTTGTAACACATTCTTGTCCCGCCATGTTGTTGGCCCAGGACGAAGAAGTACATGGCTTTAAAGAGCTGGTTTGTGTTTCAGCTCCGGCGCTTATTGCGGAATTCGAGGTCGCCGTGCATGGTGCAACAGTCTTGAATTTCGGTTGTAGATACTCGTCAGCTTCCACTAACGGTTCCGGACCTTCTATCGCTGATGAGAGATTCCTTATCAGTTCCTTTTCATCCTAAAATTAATATTAAATTATTATTTTTTTACATTCTTCAGTCAGTAAACATTGAATGAACGAAAAATTTATGATAATTTTAAGGCGTTTTTGTTTTTTATAATGTATAAAATACCTATATTATGCCTAACGTTTTTTTGTGAGTATACAAAATTAATATCACGTGAACGACTTGGGAACGTCGCGCGATCTACCCACGAGGGGAGCATTGCTAAAGAGCAATCCACACACAATTCAAGTGAGCAAACGGCGGAACATCAAAGTAAAGTTAATTTTTGGCCCGCATCTTCTTTTTCTTCATAATATTCAAACTTTAAAAGCCCATTGTTGGACACGTGCCTCTCATTTGCCTTAATCGTTACGCTTGGGCCAATCATAGCATAGTACCGTTCACACCGTTGCCGCCTGTCACCAGCCTGGGTGTTTTACTTTTGACACGAGATGTTATACCGTCATTTGTCGAAAGCCTTAAGATTTTCTAGCATTTGCTATGTCGCCTGTTATTACAGCACCGCACGAAATAGCGTAATGAATACCGTTACACTGCATCGCTACTTGGTAGAGCCATACTGCGTGGTAGAGCCATGCTATATTATGGTTGTAGCACGAATGCGTCAGCTCAAACCAAAAAGGGCCATGTTCTCACAGAGTACCAGCGTAAAATAGCAACTTAATGCCGCTATGTTTCGTATGGTGAGTGTAGAGAACCGGAGACTTTTTTACTGGAAAGGAGGCATTTCATCTTAGTCCTCAGGGGTGGCAAGCAGATCTTGCATTCCGATAGGTGTAATGTCTATGGGCCGCATTATTCACTTACCATCAGATGAACTCTGTGTGGACGTTTGTCACCCTAAAAAAGAGGAAAGTAAAATTACAGCCTATATACGTCCCACTGCTGGGCACACGCCTCCTGTTATTTCTGAGAGACTTTTAGGGCAAGAAAATATCCGCCGCGCTGCTTCAGTGAGTGTTGACGAACAGACATATCAGGTCCTCACGGTGTTTTCCTTCACTGCCGAGCATGTATTAAATCAGCACTTATAGTTGCAATTAACAATTTCATTGGTGCCGGCGGGGTTCGAACCCTGGTTACTCACATACTGTGAAATTTAGATTTAGTAGAGAGCTTAGCCCCTAAAGCTACCACGGCTCTTTGTCACCCTAATTCTATATATATAAAAAAATACCTACTTCACTCAGCTTTTCTATGATATGAAATATTGACTATCTATTTGACTATACAGTTAAAGATTAGACACCATTTAGTTAATAACATTTAAATAATCAATTTACCTGTGTAGAATAGGATGGGAGACGCATGAACTTATCTCCTGGAATGACAAGGTATCGTCCAGGATCTCTTGCCATTTCTGCGAATGTTTCTGCTAATTGCTTAAATGTTGGTCTGCTATCTGCATCCAACATCCAACATGAAACCATTACGCAATAAATATCTAGCGTGCAAATGCTGGGCTGCGGCAATTTCAGACCATTTTCTATCAATTCCGGAACGTCCCGAGCAGATATATTTGCATATGGCCGCGCTCCATAACTTAATATCTCCCATATAGTTACGCCAAATGCCCATACATCACTCTTATGGGTAAATATTCTATGTAAAACACATTCTAATGCTAGCCATTTTATTGGCATCTTACCACCAGCTGCTTTATACTCGTCTGTATTTATATCTAATAGTTTCGCTAAACCGAAATCGGTTATTTTTACGCAATTTGGTGTTTGTACTAGAACATTACGAGCGGCTAAATCTCTATGCACCAACCTCTTCTCTTCTAAGTACGCCATGCCACGTGCAATTTGAGTGCACCAATTCAAAAATGCCTTAGATCCTATTTTCTCTTTGTGAGTTCTGACATAATCAAGCAAGTTTCCAAGAGGCATCAACTGTGTTATCAGCATCATTTGATTGGTCATACAAACTGCAAGTAATTGAAGGAGATTAGGATGTTCAACACTTGCCATTATATACGCCTCTTCCAAAAACTCTTTACTAGTATTTGCACCAGTTCCCTCTTTGAGAACTTTAATGGCTACAGGAATTTTGACGTTTTCACCTTCCGGTACCCATACTCCTTTGTATACTTCACCAAATGCTCCATAGCCGAGCGTACCTCCTCTTCTCAGTTCTGCTTCTTTTACAATTCTAAGTTTGGCTAAATTCGGTTTAACATTGGTCGGTCGTAGAGGTTCGTTATCTTCACAACCAGTGAGAACCATAGTCATTTTCACTGCTTCCTTTTTTGCTTTCGCCTTTTGTCTGCATGTGTATCCAATTATACCGAGTATCATAAACAGTATAAAAGCTAAAACAAGAATAATCACCAGTACAGTAGGTATGTTAGCAGTTGCCATGGTACGTGGATCGTTGGCTGATTCTGAACAGTAAGGTTCCTCGATTGGATTTTGTAGAAGCTCATCGAAGTATATCTTATGTGGTTTATCATCAGGACAAGTAGCTGTGCAATTGAAAGCTTGATTAACGTCTACGGTATCAGAGTCAGACAAAAAAACCTTTAGATTTTGGCATTTTACACAATCAGTAGATGAGGGACCAGTGCAACCGCGACACTCGTGATGACAGGGCGTACATAACCTGTTTACTTCATCTGTGAAGTGATCTGCAGGACATTCATCTTCACATTGATCGCCTCTTTTAAATCCATTACAGACTTGACAAACTTGTTCGTGTATACCAAAACCAGTACACTTAATACATAAAGGATGGCATTTCCTGCAAACAACTTTTACTTTTCCTTCAAGAAGTTTTACATTCCCTACCCATTCATTATAGTAGCCATCCGGGCACGGTTCGTTTTCCTTTAGACAACTTTCAACTGTAGCTTCAACGCTGATGATAGCCTTCTTACACGAGTGGCAACCTCCTTCGCCAACTGTGTTTGCCGGTCCACTACAACCGTTGTAACAATTGCTGTGACAGGGCTGACACGTCCCATTCTCGGAGGGATATCTCGATTCAGGACATTCGGCCACGCAATAGGGTCCATCGCGGACATGTCTGCATTTTGTACAGTTAGCACGACTTGGTCCAGTGCACCCATCCGAACATTCAGGATGACATTGCTTGCACGTTTTCAGGCCAGCTTTGTACAGTCTGTAATGAAATAAAAAAACCAATAAGAGATTTGTTTAGGTAATGAATAAATCTTTTATTAAATCAAAATCCGTATGTTAGAAAGTCTAAAACTAACAATGAGGCCAAAACCAAGTTTGTCCATCCGACCGTGGAACCGGTAAGAGTGGTGAGCAACCCACGCATAATTCGGTTTTGTTATGTTAATAAGGTTGCCATATTAGATAAAGTCTGCAACTGGGCTTTATTAGACGCATATTGCTAACTAGAACGGACAATAATATGATTAATTCAAATAATTTTATAATTTTGTACTATTCGAAAATATGTTTTTCTTTATTAAAACATATAATAGGTAATCTATAACAGCGGAATATTTTGTTCAGTATAATAAAATCAGAAGACACGTTAATAAAAAAGACTTTCGCAGTGCAAATAATATATTTTTATACTAGCTGCGCCCCGAGGTTGCATCAGTCAGCGTGGAATACTATTTACATTTTGCGACGCGTTTGTTATTGCGTTATTTACTCACATAAGTGAAATAATTACAATAGTATTTTATGTACGTACATTACTACTTAGTAAGGAATATAATATGTATGTATATATTTATGGTTATCTATAGTCTCTTATCGGAGAAACGTTAAATTATCCATCATATCACTCTATTATTATAAAGATGAAAGTATTGACGTGTTTGACGCACCTTTGTTACAATTGAAGGCTGAAACTAAAGAACAAATTGTAAGGAAACTTGATAAATATTTAGGCAAAATAAGAATAATAGTGACAATTTTAGGCAAACAATACTTTGCATGCAAAGCCGTGACCAGAAGCTGATATTACCAAAAAAATAATTGGAAAAGAAACTTGGTAACATTGAACGCATTTAATTGGATGTAGGGTAGAGATAGTTTTGTAAATGTTAATGTTAATGACGAATTTGGTGAGAAAATAATTATTACGTTACACAATCGAGGCTCTGTACATTATGTTGAATGTATTTATTTTCTGGTAGCAACATATATTGTCCTTCGGGAGTTTTTACTCGAGCTAAGGCTACACGTTTTTGTTCATTCACCATGCACTTATTTATTATAAAGGCTAATGGAGTCAGAAATTGTAAGCGTTTAAAAGATATCGTAAGTCAGTCGGTGTCATCGCAATAAGCGTAAAGTGCGTTAGTTGTTCGGTTGCTGGATCAGTGAGAATAGTAGCTACGATTTAATTATCAGGAAATTCTATTACTTACAGTCTTGTGCCATAAAACGTTGAAGTGGGATTAAGTTTTAGATCACCATAATAGGGGAAACGATCTTAAACATCGTGTGATGCGTTTGAGGAATTCGTTTTTGGAAATTATAACCTAAATTATGAAAATGGAATTTAAGGAAGCCTATAATATTGTTGAATGTTTTATTGTCTTATTCAATTTTATTTATTGGCCAGAAACTTCTTGCAAAATGAAAACATTTACTTCGTGGACTTTATCGTTTCTGGGTCATAATATTACACTTGAACAAAGTTTTTAAACCAGAATAATATATTATATCTTTAAGTTGTTCCAGATAATGAACTATGAGACGTTTATGTCTAGTTCGATTTCAGTGCTACTACCATTTGTCTAGCAGAAAAGATGTTTCCTTTTCAAATTGAGCAGTTTAGTAGTCATCGATATTTAGTATATACTCTTTAGTGGGCTCCCATATTAGTACAGTTACGGTAAATTTATATCTTTATGAGATACAATGATTATTTTTTATAAGGGAAATGGAATTGCGTCGTGCATATTTTGCCCCGATGATTTTTTAGTATTTCAAATGGCGCCTAAAACCGGACAAATCCTTTGAAAGACGTCGAATGGCATTTATGGATAAAGAACCTTCTAAAGTAACCATGTAGTACTAGCTCTAGTACTAGTATTAGCTCGTTCGGCTAACTTTAAGACATGAATAAAAAAGTGATAACTCTTTGACAGCTGTTAACGTTGTAGCAGTGAAAAATTGAATTGAAGAGATTCTGAGAATTACGTATGAAGAAATTTAGCACGTATCGCTGATTAGATCTGAAAGCTCTCGCGAGATTGAACGCAGACACCTTCGCGTGGAAAACCGTTAGGCTTTTGGTGTGGCAAATCCTGACCGATGTTCAGAAGCAGTCCCGCATGGAATGGTGCCGTTGTAATGACGTAATTACTAAATTAGAAGCTGGTTCGCCTCAGCTTGTTTACAAAATTGTTAGAGGTAGGTAAAAATCTTAGACTTCATGATTTCTGATGTTTATGAGAACCCTACACATTAAAATATCAGTAAATCCCTAAATATGGCGATAAAATCCGTATTTTATCGCGTATATTAACTTATTTTATATCCGACGTTTCGAGTTTTTTGCAGCAGCCATGGTCAGACCCTATATGACCAGTTTTACTTAAATCTTGCATTCATCAATAAAACGACAACGAAACTACACGAGTCGACGATTTTTCTGTTTTAAAAGGCATTAATTCCTATCAAAGTGAAGCTATCGAGAAGCGTAGGCAAAACATTGATCACACGTTTTTCACTGTAATGGGGTATCTGATCTCAATTCTATTACGAAATCAAAGTAGCATCAATTCCGAATAGTATACTACTGCTTGCTAGAAGTGTTTTTTTTTTTTATAGAATAAGGGTGACAAATGAGCACACAGTCCACGTGATGGGAAGTGGATGCTATGGCCCATAGACATCTACATCTATCCTTAATTAAGAATCAAAATGCAGATGCGTTGCCGACCCTGCGGACTGAGATGAAATGCTTAGTTTCCAGTTAAAAGGGTCTTTGATTCTTTAGACGCACCATACAAAACACAGCAGCAATAAGCTGCTATTTTACGCTGGTAATCTGTGAGAGCGTGGCCCTTTCCCGGTCGTGTCCACCCCTTCGTGCTACAACCATAATATAGCTGCAGCGTGACTCTACCACGTAAAAAAGGGTTCACTGTTAAGAGCTACAGATAAGCGAACACCGAGATTCTTGGTAGACACGCCCCCGCACTCAGCTATCAAAACGATAGATTTGCTAGACATCACAATGGTAAAGCTTTACAGTCAGCGGTCACCCTCCTAAAAGCACAAATTTAGCCCCGTGTGACTTCTTTTTGTTTCCTTAAATAAGAAAAGGAGTTGTAATAGATACAGTTTTCACTAGAAAGAAAATGCACTAGCAGCATCGGAGTAGACCATTTTAAGAAGTATCTGTAGCGGACTGAAAAAAGTATTTTCAAAATTGGTTTCGACGCATGAAACTTTGTGTAGATGCTAGTGGAAAGTTCTTTGAAAAGATTTTATGAAAGAAACTTTAACTATAGAAGTTTTAATTAGTTTCACTTAACTTTCTGAGTAGCCACGTATATAAAAAACATGCGTGTCTGTCGTGGAACACTCTGTTGGAACGAAGTTCCTTTCGTAGTATATTATTATTGATAAACGTATTATATTATTGACTAGCTGTACCCCGCGAATCCGCCCGCGTGTAATTTAGGGTTTTGATTATGTTGCGCGGAACCATAATTCTTTTTCTAAAATATAAGTAGGCTAAGTTACTTATGACATCAGCTATCTGCCAGTGAAAGTCCCGTCGAAATCAGTTGAGCCGTTTCGAAGATTAGCCGGAACAAACAGACAGATAGACAGACAGACAGATAGATAGACAGACAGACAGATAGATAGACAGACAGGCAGACAAAAATTTTAAAAATGTCTTTTTGTTACAAGTACCGTATATGCTTTCATATGCATTTAGTAAAAAGCTGTTATTTTGACATTACAAACAGACACTTCAAGTTTATTTATTTGTATAGATTAACAAATACAAATAAATGAATTACTAGCGTCTATTAAAATAAAGCGTCATTAAAAATAAAATAATATTTCTTTCATGGCAAAATAAAAAAGTGCGAGGGAGATGGATATTATTCCATCTCGCTCGCACTATAGAAAGGGAGTCGTGACGGAAACATCTTAAACTTTTTCTCGCCTAGCCCCCATCCGTCAAATTCGTACCGTGCGATAAGAAACTTCATTTCAAAATTTTACTTATGAGTAGTGTGCAATATTTGAGGAATTTAATTAACACCTTCGAAATAATATTTTGAATTACTATTGCTACAAGATGACACATTGCAAAAGTTAAAAGTTAAGTCAAATCTATAGACGTCGTTGAAGTGTTGGGTATGCCTCTTATTTTAGAGTGAGTAGTGGATTAGATGGCGGGTTGCTCATAAGCTCTATTGCGGTTTCTTAAACTATTTCTTATTATTGAGACACGCCCATTGCACACGATGTTGACGATGTTTTTCACCTTCCAGCAAATAGCAGTAATTAAAATGAAAGCGCACTGGATTCCATGCCAGAAATTCATGGTGCATGCAAATTATAAGATTTAAGGCCAGCCCTTGAGTTACCATCGGTATTTACTTATACTAAAAGTAATTAATTTATACCAACCCTGGTAGCACACTGCAATTGTGTATGCACGTTTCGCCAAAGTTATGGTTTTCACAGGAGAGACACTGTTCAGGACCAGGGCCCCAGCAGCCGTCCGCCGAGCATTGAGGATCGCACACCATATTTGAATTTTCTGTTTGACAAACAGGGAACAAGTACAAATTTAGTATAACTCCAGGGGAGCTACTACAAAAATTTATAAATTCTACCATTCAGGTGTAATCAACGCACAGCAGTATTCAATGGTTTTGTTGTTAATAGGGTTAATTAATTGTGTACATATATTCTGCAAGATTATACCAGTTTATCATAAAGTCGCTGGCAATTTCGTTGAAATAAGTGAATTAAAAATTCGCAGTGCATTCAAGAAAAATATTTAGAAACTTAAACTAACTATGAGGATCCTCACAACGCATCGCTTATCGCATATAATTTTACTCACCACATGTTTTCGGATCGCCATTTTTCTGTATAATTTGCTTATGGTCCCTAGATTTTCCAAGTTTATTCCAAGCAATTTTATCGGCAAAGCAAAGATGTCGGTTCTCCATGATTGCTATGGCTCCAGAATTAACTCTTTTTAAAGACTTCAGTCCTAGTGATCGTAGTGAAGTTTTGACAATGTAGAGAGAAGCGAATAGATTTTCAACAACTTGACGCCCGCCGATTACTTCCAAGTTCCGAAAATAGGAGAGACTCGTAAAATTTGGGTGATGAGCCTGTACGTTCAAATATCCTGTTACCTCGCGGACTGTGCTGAAGACTTCAAGACTGTCCGGTTCCATTTTAGGATAGCGGTCACCAAACGAATAATCCGGATTAATATGTTGGAATCCAGTAAAAGTCATTTCTAATATTTCTATTGAGCCATCTATAATTGTACAGTCTTTGAAACTGTCAATGTTGCCGGAATGAATAGGTTTTTCCGCTCTGCATGTTTTTGGGCAAGTAACATTGCACGGTATGCACTCTCCGTTCACGGCTGTTTTGTTTGGCGGACAGCTTCTCACACAAGCACCATTGTCTTTTAAAAGATGCTCTGGGCAGTTACGTACGCATGTCGCTCCGTAAGCGTACTTTCCATTAGGATTTGGCTCCCATGAGTAAGTGGTGGGATTGTATATTTGCATCGGTGGACATTCTTGGGAGCACGTTCCTTCGTCGTAAAAGTTCCGGCAAGCTAAGCATTGGCTCGGTAAAGGTCCTGTACAACCTCCGGCGCAGAATGTATTACAGCAGTCGCGCGGATTAGGCCCAAAGCAGCGACCCTGCGCGCACTGAGGGCTACAATTTGTTTTTGAGAACTTTTGACAATTTTCGGGACCATCACCCCAGCAACCGGCTTCGCAGCTTGGGTGGCAACGACATTCTCTTTCTTGTGCGGTAAATGTGTACACATACACGTACGTAGCATTCACTCCTGTTATTATTTCGTCCCAGTTTATCGTTTTTACGTGACAAAGATTAAAATTGTTGTAGATTCCGACGCTGCCTCGAAGGACGTCTCGTAATGCTGGCAGCTCAAGAGTAAAAGCTGTAGACATGGTGACCATAAGTGCAAATTCCTCTTCCCTAACATTAAGTTTAAATAGTGTCCGCCCGCGGATTATTTGCAGTTGGGGTAAGATGATTTGCCGAACGTTCACATGTGAAATAAGCACGTATCCAGTTACTTCTCTTATATGTTTCAGAAAAGACAAATCCATAGTCTCATTATGGAGCCATGTGAGTTCCAGGTTGCCATCAACATAAGTGCAGTTTGTAAAGCGATCTCGCAGATTTCGGTAATGTGTGTCGCGGTTTGACGGAACCGACATTCGCCCATTCGTTCCGATGCATACTGAAACAAAAAGAAAAAAAAAGTTGTTAAAAATGATTCAAGTTACAAGCATTTCAACATAATATACTTAAAAATTGCAGTTATCTGGTAAAAGAAGTCATAGTTGGTTATGATAATATAATATATTTTGGTGCGTTTGTTTCGATTCGATACATCGACAAGTCAGGCAGAGCTCGCGTCTAATGAAGAGGCGGTGCCGACGCGCGGCGTGTGGGCGGGCTCTACAGCCAGTTTCATCTACTACGCTACACGTAGCACCGCTATTTGTGCCTAAACATTGAAAATAGTCGATTTACAATGGCGTTTCAATGCTTTGAACGTTTCTAACTTTTGTAACAAGAGTATAATATGCAACATACGTCCACTTAATAGGAAGTTGCTATCAAAATTAGTTTGTTTTGACAGCATTAGAATGATACTCAAAGATTAGGATATGATTGTCCTAATTTATGCGACACTGCCAGTTACAGGAAGTATATGTACGGTTATAAGAATTCCCTTCGACACCATTGAAATAGTTAATTTTAATTTTAATACTAGAAACATCGCCAACAACAACGTCCGCGGTTGTCTGCTCCATAAACCTCACGGAAATTAAAGTCGAAATTGTATTTTTTATAAGAACACAGTTACTATAGTAGATAAATGTGGTGGTAGTTTATTAAAAAAAATACAAAAAATTGATTAAATTTGGCATTGACACCTGTGAAATATAATAAAAGAAATATAAAATCATTCCTCACGTTAACTAAGAAAATTTTATTAATTTAATTTATAATTTACAACAAACTACTTTAATTAAGTATGGACATGCCTGCTTGAGTAATAGAAACTGCATCCAAGTTAAAAGGTGAGTTACCTGCTTTGGTATATAATAGAATTTTTTTACAAACATACAAAGCTTTTGGGTTTTCAAAGAGATTAAAGTCATTTCTTTGTCAGTTTTAAGGAGAAGCATCTTGATATCTTTTTAAAATACATCACGAAATTTACTTATGACTAAAATCATTTTTAGGAACTAAACTAACCACAATCACAAAGACTAGCGATTGGATTAGTATAGCGTAAACTAGCCGTATAATGTTGTTGTGTTTCTTTTTATCGATACCTAGGTATTCAGTCTTATTCTTGAGGCATGACCTGTATTATTATTCTTAATCGGAGATAAATACAGTTACCTATGGGCCACAGTTTCAGTCACCCTTACTTTGAATGATGTATTTTCTACACTACAGCAATAACTATCATTCAGCCAGTAACATTTTAATTTATTTCCGAAAATACAATTTAGTGCCAGGGCGGCATCAGATGCAGCTGAACTGAGTAAGTGGCGCAATTATGGTGCCATTTGCTGTAGAGACTATCGGTCCGTGGGGACCACATGCGGTGAAGTTCCTAAAGGAACTCAATCCGCGGCTGGTCGTTGCTGCTGGTGATAAGAGCGCTAGTTCTTTTCTCGCTCAAAGGCTAAGGTATGGCCATTCAGCGGGGAAACGCAGCCAGCGTTCTTGGCACGATACCGCCGGTAGTAGGACTATATGATAATTAAGTTTCTAGTTTTAGTTTTTTTTATTATTATTATAGTATTTAATCTTCAATTGATATTTTCACACAAAGAAAATACAGTTTTATCGCACTGTGTTCAAATACCATCTTCCAAACCAAATACTATGGGTTATTTTGAAAATATACTTTATTAATTAAAAAATATTACCTTGTTAATGTTTCTTGGAATATGTTATCAAAATCAATATCAGCAATAAAGAGTATGACAATGGTGCAAAATGTCAAATTAATATAAGGCACTATGAATTTGAAACTCAAAAAAAATGCATTACAGGAAACATTTTTTTGCTTGTTTAATTTATTTATTTTCATAACTCCAGACGTATTAAGTACTTTGCAGCACTCATGGTGACTCACTACGTGAAAGGCATTAAAATCCAAATCATCAAAATAAACCAATTGCATTAAATATGCCGTATAAATTGTGTAAACATAAAATCACTACGCAATTAAAAACTGCAAAATTAGCCTATTGCTGATTTGCTGATTGCTTAAACATAAATAAAATGAGAACATCATCAATGTAGTCGATACCAATTAAATACGCATTATTAAAGATAACCCAAAAACTAATGGTCAGATCTTGATCAAATTTGTGAAATCAGATTTGAAAAAAAAAGAACAAAATGGTAGTATATGAGAAGCACCAGCTTTTTAAAAAAGAATCATGAAAAACGATTCACCTAGAAAAATACAGTCGAATTGAAAACCTCCTTTTTTTAAGTCGGTTGAAAATAACTTCGTTTTAAAGAGTACACTCCTAGTTCAGTATAAATATCAACTGGAGCTAACCATAATTTAATTTTATATTTTTTTAATCCTGTGTATCATAAAATTTAGAATATAACAATAATCAACAAAGTCAACCATATAATGTAAACATAAAAATATTTTGTCCAGTTAATATCAATTCATGGAGTATAATAATTTGAACCTATTTTTTTATTAATTTGTAAGCACTGTGTTGTAGATTGGATTGTTGTCGCCGATTAAAACCGGATTCATTTAAATGAATTTTAATACATCAGTCAACAGCTTTCGAAAATGCCGTTCATATGTGATAAAACCAACCATATAAAATTTCACTCATCGCGTCGTAGGCAGTAACACACCTATATAATTTAGTTAGGTTTCCTCCCACATGGGCAAATTTTAAATATCAACATATAGTACGGAAAATGTTGTGGTTTATGGAGGTTGTTTTTTGATCAGTTGCTGTGTAGGTTGTAGAAATCCGGTGTCCGGTCGACCCAAATGAGTTGGCGATGACATGAGTGATAGTATTGAAGTGTGATGATTACGTCGCGCTGGTTGCCTCTGTTTGATGGTTAATTCCTAATTGGTGTTTACAATGTGATGTTTTCCAAACAAACTGACATGGAGATACAATAAAATAGACAATAAAATCGGCCATTATTTTTAGTCACTAGTTTAAAAAAATTGTAAAAAATCCTACAATATATTTCTTAAATAAAAGTTTTAATTTTTTTTCGCTAACTGATAATGATTGCATGATCAATTCTTAATTAATTTTTGATTTTTAAATTGTTCGGGTCACTTAGCAAGCGGCAGATTGGTCGAGCTGGCCTTCTATTTACCAATCTCTTAACGCGTGCCTCTATAAGTGTAAAGCCTGGCGACTGGTTTGTCTCAGGGCAATGTTTTTATCCAGTTACTTGCATTCTGAGGCATTGGAACCAGTTTTGTTCCACTACCATTTCATTCTCGTAACTCGACCTTTCACTACAATCTCTTGTTGTATTTTGTAGCTTGTTGCAGTTGTAAGATACATAAAGCAAATGAAAGCATAAAAGCAGCATTGGACGTCAAACTTTTGGTGTTATTCAAAATAGACGAACTGTGATGGTTAAGTTTCATTTGTTTGGTTGAGGCCATAAATTTTTAATGTTGTATATTGCAATAAATATATATATATAACATCAACAATAAAAGGCAGTAAAAGTAACCGTCACTTTACACAAAAATTGGACACCAATGGAATTAACCGTACCGAGAGTTATGACGGTGTTGATCAACTTACTTGAATATCATGCTCGGTTATACTAGTACAACTCGTGAAAGCTTTGACTGTAGAAAACATTTCATGCCTATACATCAAATTATCAATGTACAAAGTTACTAATTTTGTACATTGATAACTTGAAGCATACAACAATTTAAAACATTTTTTTTAAGTTCAGTACAATTACGTTAATAAGTCAATTGGGTATTAAAATAAGGCTTTAAGGGTGATGCGACATTTTTATTGAAAATTTTTGAATATAATCTATATAAATGAATCGATATACTACACCCAGTAAATTATAGAATCAATACATATCATGATGAACTCATTAAAATTTAACGCGGCAATAAAAAATAAGCAATATAAATTCGTTAAGAAATTGCGTCTGAAATGAATAGACATTATTTAAAATTGTAATTAATGATACGTTAAACTTGATTAACAAATAGTGTTACTTTTGACTGAGGCTTTTCTTTAATTCGGTATGTATATATTATATTATGAGAATTTAAAAAAAATATGTATGAAATTACGCAAAATATTGGTTTAATTTGATATCGTCGATCTCTTTAAATCTACCATTTTGGTTTTCGTACGTATATTTTGCTAATGGCTGTTTGTGACCGTCAACCAACGTCCAAACTTCGTTCGCATCATAATCTTACATGAAATTTAAATCTCAAAAATTTTAAACTGTCATAAATATTATTAAGAATTTGTTATATATCTGTATTTATTCATTATATATATTCATGCATAGCATTGAGTTTTTTAGTATATATATTTTTTTAAACATACCAAAAACGAGTTAAATGAGATTATTGCCATCCCATTAGAGTTTCGTCACATGAATTAATTATTAATTCATTGAAATATATTCAGATACACTGATACGAGTATCTCTCTCTAACGGAATCATCCATAACGGATGTCGAAGATGCGATAACTCCCAGCTTGTTTTTCTCATAAAGTTCACGAATATATAAATCTAGGTTTATCTAAGCCTTTAAGTATTGATTCTGCTCGTTTTATAAAAAAATATCTTATTACATGTTTTTGTAATATATTGTTAAATTAGTTAATAAATTTCTACGTTTCAAATTATTATTGTTAATTTTCACTAACTTAGTATTATATTTTCACCAGTTTTAAATGGTAGTTTATAATCTTTATATATAAAAATTATGTGTTACGTTGTTTGTCCGCGATGAACTCTTAAACTACTAAACTGATTTCAATGAAATTTTGCACACTGTGTGCAGTTTAGCCCAACTTGAGAGATAGGATAGTTTTTAGCCCGATAAGTGACACTAATTTTTTTTAATTGTGAATTTAATGATTTTTTAGGATACATAGTCGTCGGAAAGGGCAGAACAACGTCTGCCTGGTCAGCTAGTATTTTATATATGTTTCTGAACTTTATTTTAACCCTTCGTGAGCACTCCCAACTTAAGGAAGGCTGATTATTTATATTAATTATATACCTTTAGTCAATGACTTAAAAGGTTAAGCCTAATGAATTTGTACCATGATAACTCAATGTAAATTATTGCGTGGCTTAGTGAATTATGCACACTTCGTGATTATTGAAACAAAGAGAAACAATAACTTAGTTGCTAGAACCGCATAGACCTTTATTCCTTGAAATGTAACAGCTAAAGCGTTTTGCATGTGTAAAATATAAGGGCCATATAAATGTTAATGTTTTTTATTTCACAGAAGGATCTAATAAATCGGATCGCATTGTAAACAGTACGCGTGTGTGCACGCACCTAAAACTGTAGTTTTCCTTGGTCACGTAATAAAATTAAAGTATATTAATATGTACATTGTTATGGCATCTTTTCCTGGAAGTTAATTCTAATTATGTGTGCAATAATATGTTTTTGTATCTATCTATAAATGGAGCTAAATGTGTTTTTATTATTAATGGTAACTTTAATTGAGTAAATGTTTTTTTTAAATGAAGTTAATTGTTTAGGTATGATTTATGGTGAGTAGAAAATTCAATTTAAAATTTGCTTAACTCATGGTGCTCGAACAAAAGAAGTTTACGACCGTACAATAACAATCTCCGTGAATACAACATATAACATTCCATGTGGCTTATGTTTGTAAGACGATATTGGACGAAGTTAGCGCCAAAACATTTTTTGTTTAACATAGTCAAACCAATAATGGAGCTCACAAACCTACGCAATAAGATGTCAGAAATAATTATAACAAATGGTCAAAACAAGTTTAATGTTACGGGATATTGAATCACTCTATGATTGGAGTTTCAATTTGGTTGTACGAGTACATCAAATTCGAGGTACAAATACAACTTTGAAACTTTGAGTAAACCCAAGAAACAACGTATTTTTTAAAAAAAATTACCTTTTGGTAAGTTCTTCTATTTTTTATAGGATAGGGTGACAAACGAGCACACAGTCCACCTGATGGTAAGTGGTTGCTGTGACAAAATGCAGATATCAACTTTTACTCCAGGAGTCAAACTCAACTGCATGCAACCTGACGGTGCTCTGGTAGTCCTAACGTTGAACTGACTGCTGGCGGAATATGTTTGGTAATGGTGAGCAGCATTACCATTACGTGGGTATCAGCTCTGGGCATGTTACCAATGCAGCTCAGCGCGAAATTAAATGCAAATGTTTAAAGGAAATGCGTTGTTTGGCGTATTCTCGAAAAAACCCGTATTCAACAGTGGATACAAAAAACTTATAAAAATATATCCAAAGTTTAATGTTTGTATAAACAATAATTGATTTGAATTGTAAGTATAGAGGCAAGGACATAGAACGTTCTAGAAAATAATAAAAACGTTAAATCAAATAGATAACTTTTCATATACAAGTCTTAATTTAGTTTCTAAGGTGGAAGATTTACGCTGCTACTATGTTGTGGTTGCAGCACGAAAGTGTCAGGGAAGGATCACGCTTTTACAGAATACTAACGTAAAATAGCAGCTTAATGCAGCTGTGTGTATGGTGAATGTAGACCAAAGGAAACCCTTTTTACTGGCAACGGGGCATTCTAACTAACTGGGGTAACTAGTTACGCATCTTTTAATTTTTAATCGAGGATGGATGTAGGTGTAGGTGCCTATTGGTCACAGCATCCACTTACCATCAGATGGATTCTTTGTGCTCGTTTGTCACCTTTATTTCCATAAAAAAAGTGATTGAACAAATAACATATAAATTACAAACCTCTTTATATAAAATTTAATAAACAATATTTCTCGTCTCAAATCAACTTGTAAACAGTTCACTAATGATTATGCGGATAAATAAGTATTTTCTTACTGAATCTATTGTTGCGGCTCTCTAAATCAGGGTTTAGTTAACAAGGTAGGTACCTATATAAATACTGGGTTTATTAAATCCTATTAAACTGGTTTTGTCAGCAGTTAATTAAAATCATTCTTACAAGACAAAAAAACGGGTGAAGACTTTTTAAATCGAATATCTCATCTCACATTAGTCGGTAAAACAGTCATCTGGTCGTTAACCTCTTCCATAATATAATGATTTGTCGTGATCGCAACGATAGGTTGGCCGATAGGTTGGTGGACTTGCGATCAGAGTCTTTCTTTTGCGCTGCAGCTACATGACATAGTTACACCGCCACCGCCATCTATACAAGGCCACGAGATCTTTCGGCTGTGTACATAAATCGTATCTTACGACCAGCGTCGCCAACTCTACGCATATTTCCGTAGATCTACGGACTTTTTCATCGTCAACGGAACTACGGAATTTGATTTCCATGTTGATTAAATATTTTTGAACTTCACAGTCCTTTCAGAATAATTAGATTTTTAAAAACTTAACAAAAAACATTTTTTATCATGAGTGTTAACTTACCACCGACAATCAAGTATTTTTTTAGTACAACTATCCACAAATATTTAAGTATTAATTATTTTATTCGTTTTTTACTAAAAATAATTTAATTGAAATAAAACAATTACTTTTTAATTAATTTTTATGGTACTTTTTTCTTATCTGTGCAACTTGATTCGATGTTATACTACAATTGAACTTAAAACAAGAATTTTGCATGAAAGAAAGAATTTCTCCAAAAAATTAATATATTCTATGAGAAAAACAAAAGATTCGATCCTCCTAAGAAGTTTGCAGATCTACGGATATTTTGAAATACCATCTACGGAATTCTACGGAAATTTTTATACCAATCTACGGATTTGGAAAAAATCGAGTTGGTAACACTGCTAACTTTAGATTCTCTTTAGCTGCCACTACCGGTAAAAACTGACGATACTAGATATATATTATGTATGAATATCGCAACGCCTTTGTAGTAGTCTTGGTACAGAGGCTGCGAAGGTGGTGTATTTATGTAGGTACATTTCTATGTTTCAGTTTTGACTAAATCATAACTATGCGTTTTGTCATATATAAAACGATAATTTTATTCACGTAAGAGAAAAGGTCAAGGTAAGGTGATTGTAACACAGGCTCCAGGCATACATACATCCATAAGTTACGTTTAGAACAGGGAATCACGAAGTTACGTTTGGAAGCGGTAAAATTGGTTGTGATGGTTATTTTTTAATATTCTAGCAATTAAAATCTTATTTTTGTTACATAGAAATAAAAAGGTTAGCCTAATTTTAAACGGTACACTACAAACATATTCCACTGTTATTATATTATATACTATATATTTTAAATTAAGTCGTGTATTGATCGTCGTCAAGATATAAAATGAGCAACGGTTTTATACAATCAAGTACTAATTCGACTATCTGAAACCGCAAAGTACCCACAATTTACCGTTATTTAAATGTTCTTAATGAGTTTTTATTTAAAAAAAATAACAATATATTAATTTGAAATAGTCTGTTCTTTATGATTACAAATGTATTATGCCTCCAAACCTTCTATACACACTGGCGTCAACCTCACGGCAGCTTTCCGAGCTATATAAGGCTACGTCTGTCGACTCGAGATAAGCTATGTTTATTTTATACCAACGATTAGTAAGCACAAGTGTATTCTTTATTGTTCTATAGTGGTATTTTATGGTCTCCGCTTGCATAATAGTAAAAATACCACTCTTGTTGTTTAATATGACCTTCTACTTATCAGACTACTCAAAACAACCAACTTCACCGATCCAACCGAATCTGTCAGCACAAGATCACATATTTCCCGGGGTATCACTGCACTGACAAACTAGACGGTTTTCTTATATTTGTAGGGGAACGAAAACGTTTGGGCGGTGAACTGAGAGCACCGTGGGCGGCACTTACTCTTTCCTTTAACGAACTCCGAGTGCTTGTGTCGTGTGGGCACGACATGGTGAACACGGTGCGGTCGGACAGCAACCGCCGCTCCGAACGCGCCGAAGCACAGGCACCACAACAAGGCACGCGCAGCCAACATGCTGCGACATCACTCGCGAGGCAGCACGGGACACGACCGTCCGGCAATAGCTTCCATCGTGTACTAGCCCGCCCGGTTTTCAAACCTCGCTGCGCAGGCGCACCCATAGACCTACGTTCTACCAGAACGTCCACACAGTTCACAGGTGTGTTTGGGCGGGAAAGCACACCATAGTTGCTAATGGCATATTCTTATAATTAAATAGGTTTTTATTTACAGACGATGTGAATGATCAATATTAAATTAATAAGGAATATAATTTGTTTTTTCTATCATTATTTTATAATATTCTAGTATGTTGATCAAAAAAGTATTTTTCACCTATTATGGTAACTGTTATAAAGAATTTTTATTAAATTAAAATACGAATAGCTGATAAATATTGTAACAAACAATGTATTAAAAGTAAATTATAAATATTTCACATCTAAAATGTATTAAGTCTATGTATGTCCGCGCTGCCCTCCCAGTCACAAGCACAGGTAAACGTCGAGAAGGACGCAGGTATGCGCCGGAGCCGATACGCTCACGATGAAAAAAACCACGTAACAAAAGTTTAATAACTACGCATTGTAACCCGTGCTAGTACTGATACGAATAATAATTGAACTCTGGAACTGGACCTAAAACAGTTTTTGTCGGATCATGAAGCCAGCTTTTGTGGCGATCTGATCTAACAGCCGGCAGTGCAATTAATATTCTTTCGAAGCAGTAATGGAAGAAGATTATTATTTTTTTATTACAAGTACATTAATAATAGGTGTACTTATACAGTTTTTATGCGAGCGCATCTATACAATATATTAGAACTTATTATTTTACTCTTTCGACAATTTCGAGGCTCCATTTCGTCATATAGAATCTTCTGGTTCAAAAACTTTTTGAGTCTGGTGAGTGAACAATGACAACGAACATGTTATTTGCAAAACTATTAAATTGTAAAACAACTATTTATCAAAGTATCATAATGAATGATTTTAAAACCTGTTCAAAATGATCATATTTCCATAATGAAGTTGTATAAAACTAAGATGGAATGTCGAAAACTACTAATATATAAGCACATTTTTATTTTTAGAAGTTTTATCCACTATTTCACAAAATAGACGTTAAAGATTTTGGCCAAATCATTTAAAAAGTCCATGACATAACAATTATCAAGTATACGGCTAATATTATATTTTAAATTGTTGTATTGGTTCTAAATAAATTAACCGGTTAAATTAATAATCTATTGAAATACCCCCACAGAGTAGAGTAGATGGAGTACTTTTCTTGTACTTACTGTATTTCTCTATTTACGCTTTATGGTAAAAATCTAAAGGCATAATTGTAAACCGATACATCTTTATTATTGAGTATTAGGTTATAGAGTAAAACTTAAACTCGTATTATTTACTTGTTACAATTATTATGAAATTTAATAAACGGTTATGAGAAACAGGCTTTTTGATTCCTTTCGACAAATTGCGCATAGAAGACGGAAAGCGCGCGTTGAACTCTTTACGAAAGTCGAACTCTTAACCGCACACCGGTAACTTAATAAAACATGTCAGCGATTATTTCAATGAGTTGCATGTTCAATGCTCGTTTTATCTGAACCGTTGCCTTAAGAACTGCACGTAAGCAATCAATGTAAACTGCACATTGAGCGCTAGAAGCATAATAGTGTGTAGTTTTAGTTATCGGACGGCGCTAAGGCTGCAGTGAGTTCACTTCGCATTCCTAAACTAAAATCTAGAATGCGGGCACAATGTAAGAAAATACGAGTTCTTTCAATGCATTAACTTTTGTCTAACTCTACAACTTCAATCGACATGGTATATTATTATTTTTGAAAAGTTAATATTATTCTTTTACAGGAGCCCAACAATATCGTAATGAATTGTCGACGTTATGATTTTGTAATTATTAAGTTTAAATCGTTTCCTGTGTTTATTGTAGAGAAGAAAGTTTGATAAGTTGTTACAATTGCTTACGGACCAATTTAAAATGATTTTTCACTAGTATATACTGACTCTATCTTTATGATCCACATATATCCTGTATTAATAAAGAACTGTAATATAAAGTTAAATAGTAGGTGATATAAATAAAGCATGTGTTTGTAGTGTTCGGTTGTTGATGAGAATAAATATCAAACATTGATTGGACTAGCGGTTTGCCATCGAGTACTTTTATCGATAAGAACGGCACATGGCCATTTTGCCGTCATTCGGTATTCTGTGGACATTCGATCTGTTATATTTATCTGCAATGAGCAAAATCTAACAGAATAGAGAGTGGAGTATGGACTAATTATATATTATTTTTAAAGGACGAAATGACGACTTCATAGTTTTTATCGTTTTGTGTTTTAATAAATAAAATATTGTGTGTAAGTGACGTATTAATAGGTAGTGTTTAATTCATTAAAAAAAATCTGATTGAAAATGTGCCAACTTGCTGTATAATTATCTTATTTACGTGTACATGTCACTACGAACTGACTATTTCCAAACATATCCAATTTCAAAAATCACATGTAACATCGACGTAAGTTGACGGTGAATTCCTCCATCATCTAATTTCATCGCATATGTAGTTTTAGAAAAAAATGTCGGATCTAAGACAACACAAGCGATTGCTAATCTCGCACCGATTGTGGTACAAAGGTACAACAAATCCTACGATTCATTCATTTATTCGTTACAGGCAGTCAAAAGTCCACACCTGAGCAGAGGCCTCCCGCATATACTTAGTCGGGTCATAAGTTCTGTCAAAACCTTATTATTTAACATTTTTGAATACTAGCTAGATGAACTTCACCAATAACGTTTGCTCTTGCCGAATATAAAAAAGACATTAATTTTCATTCATTTTCAAATATGGAGTGGTCGAAGTAAGAAGATAGAGTAGCGGTTATCGCGTTGCACCGCTGTGGTTACGCGCCAAAAGAGATTTTCAATACTCTACAAAAATTTAAAATAACCCTACGATTTAATCGCACTATCAAACGATTCACTGAAGATTCAAGCTTCGAAGATCGTAAGAGGACCGGCTCACATCGTACAGTTTGGACACCCGCGATCATCAAAGCAGTGAAGGCGAGAATTGAACGAAATCCTATTCGTAAACAAAAAATCTTAGCTCCTCAGATGGGCCTAAGCAGAACCACGGTCAAAAGAGTGATCTATGAAGTCCTAGGACTACGAGCTTATCGTAAGAAGACCGGACATTTTTTGAACGAGCGTTTGAAAAAAAATAGGCTGGATAGGTCCCGCGCCTTATTACGGCGGTACGCGGGAAAAAATGCCACGAAAATTTGTTTTCGGGTGAATAAATTTTTAACATCGAAGAAAGTTATAATAACCAAAATGATAAGATGTATGCCCACAGCATTGAAGAAGCCAGCACGCGTATTCCGAGGGTTTAACAAGGACATTATCCTTCGTTACTCATGGTTTGGCTTGGAGTCTCATATTCAGGCTTAACTAAGGTGTTTTTCTGTGAAAAAGGTACAATACCGTCCGAACAAACGTATTGGAACCTCTTTCTGAAACAATGTTCGAAACCAGATATTGGATATTCCAACAGGACTCTGCACCAGCTCATAGAGCACAAAGCACGCAAAACTGGCTGACCGCCCGTGGAATTGACTTTATCGGACATGAAGGCTTTCCTCTTCTAGTCCAGATTTAAACCCACTGGATTACAAGATATGGCAACATTTGGAGGAGAAAGTCTGCGCTAAACCTCATCAGAATTTAGAATCTCTCGGAGCATTTTTGGCTAAAGCAGCGGCACAAATAGATATGAATGTGGTGCGTGCTGCGATTGATGATTGGCCGCGTCGATTAAGGGCATGTATTCAAAATAGGGGAGGGCATTTTAAGTAATAATAGGCAATTTAGTCATTTGACTTTGCTTTAAAAAAAAGAAGTTGAAAATGGCGCTGTGGCGGCGGAATCTATTACGGTAATCTCATACAAAAATAAATAAGTACATTCAGGTGGAATTAGAACCACCTCATTGTTTAAAGTCGGCTAAAAAGTATTAATCACATCGTCCTAATTAAAATCAGGTGAAAATTTTCAATCAAAAAATACGTTTCTTGGTTTATTTTGACAATGGATTTGTTTTATTAAGTTTTTGTAATTCATAAATCCACATACTTTTTACACATCTGTAAGAGTTTTGATGTAATGAAACTATGAGTTATGAGGCGACAGAGGAACCCAAATCAGGAGATGGACAGCAGCGTCTTCCTAATTAAGACTAGAGAAATAAAATGCTGTTGCCTACCCGCTTGCCAAGCGTGCCAACTTTGTATAAATGTAAAAACAAATGTTCCCCCTATCAGGCAGGCAATCTACCTCAAGTCTAATCTAATCCAGGCAGGGAGGCCTATGTTCGGCAGTGGACTTTAATAGGCTGTAACGGTAACAGTTATTATGAATTTGTAAATACCAACCCGAGATTTATTTATAAGTTAGATAAATACACCCCTTTATTTAAATTATATTAGTCAGTTCCTAAATCTATTTAAATATTGAATAAATAATATAAAGGTATATTTATCACTTAGTGCATTTGCATGGCTGGCATTACATGACTTGTAAAAACATCTCCACTCCTAGATTATTGGTTTTCATCATCATCATTGCAGTCCATCACAAGTCACAGTCCCGAGCCAGCTGCATCCATTGACTTCCTGCATGTCTTATTGGTTTTAACTGAACGAAATTTATAGTAAAGTGGCATTAACAAAACTTTCAAATTGAATAAAACTATTTTTTATAAATATTTTTAACACTTATTGAATATTAATTTTTCGGGCCAAAATTAATATTTAAGAACTTAAGGGCTAACTATGACATCGGGACCTCAAACACCTCAGTACTCCCGTGACTATGAATGCTATAGAGCTCCCGAAACGTCGGAAATTAAAAATAAGTGAATTAAACGCGGTAAAATCCGTAAATTATAGTTTTATTAAATGTGTAGTATTCGCGTAAATA